CTTAGCAATTACTGTAAATGAATTTTCTGGTCTATTCTTTTAGACCTTTTACATAGCTCATAATATGGATCTGTCCTATGTTTTAACTACTGCCCAATTGTTGGTCCTTTAGAGTATTTTGTGTTTATTATTACATTAAAATATAATACATGTGTTGTTACAAAGTGGACATTTTATTTTTGTAAATTATATTTGTAAAAATATTTGGTAGACTAAAAGGAATACATTATTATTATTATTATTATTATTAAATAGGTACTGTATAAGTATGGAACAGAAACTAAATCAGAGGAAAAAGGGATATAAAAACAAAGGCTTCCAATACACAGTATTTCTTCCATGATTTACCAGAAAAGTTTGGTGCATCTTTCAGCTGAGATACCTATCTTGGTTCATATTGTGGTCGAGGTTTTGCAAGGTGAACAATGCAACACAGGACACATCGTATAAGATTATTTTATAATCACCCAAAGAATCATATACGAGAGTGCAGGAAATCTGTCTATACACTAAAGACAAACAATCCACCTGAGAACCTAGAACCTAATATCCTACATGAGTCCAGCTGAAGACAAGACCGAGAGCCCATAGCAATGCCCAGTACAAGGCCAGCTGGAGGCCTAGAGCTCATGACAATGTCTCCTGCAGGCCTGCTTCATGGACGTGCCCTGGAAAGGCCAGTGGGGGAAGCTACACAGACTGTGCCGGTTGGATGAAGGATCTGTGCAGGCAGGCTGAGGCATCTGAACTGGAGCAATATTCAAGAACCAGAACTGTACCCAAAGTAACACAGCCATCCTCAGCAACAGCTTGGAGCCAGCTGAGTATGGACTGAAACCTCCACAAACTGTAAATAAACCGTTCCTTCCTGAATTTTGTGTGTTGGGTATTTTTTCCTAGCAATGAAAGAAAAGTAACTGAGACAGTTGACAAATTTTTCCACAATTCTGGTCCCAACCTGAATCGGCTAAGAACCAAACGGAATTGGCTAAATGTTGATCTAATAGGGAGATTTAACTGAGCTCTCCTCCAGTTTGGGGAGACAATAAATCTTTAGTTAATATGTGATTAGGTGCACCAGTGACTTTCTTGATATTGAATATTTACTTATATTTTGGCTTATTGTGAAAGTTTCTTACAAGCATTTAAACTGGCAAATCCAATCTTTTGACATTGGCATTTCTGTGGATTAAAGTTGGCTTTTTTTCCCCCCGGATTAAATTCATTTTCATAAGAAATGCTTTTTAAAAAACCTGGCAAAATTTTAACCTGTTACTGTTCTTTGTACATAAACTCTGGGCATCTACAGCTAACTATCTGGCTGACATGCCTGCTAATCTTGTTAACTCGACTGGCTCGAGACAGGTGAAGAGGTGATTGGATCACAGGAGCAATATTCTCGTCAGTGGATTATGCTCCCCCACTGATGTCCCAGGCTACTTATGCTACGAAGAGGTGGGCCCAGCTGGAGGAGGCAGGGCAGGGCAGGGGTGACTCTGGAAGGTGTTCTCTCTGGACTCCTTCACTGTGCCCTGCTCCCTTGCTGCCTTGGATTCTACCATAGACGGAAACCTCAGAAACCATGAGCTAAATAAACCTCTTTTACTTTACGCTAGCAATTGGAAAGCTCCCACCCATGTAGCTCATAAATGTCTACAATACACAAAGACCTCAAAGGTTTTGTTTCGTGGAGTCATGACTAGTGTATTCAGAGTACAAGGAATTTTCTGGGTCCCTAGTGGCTACAGTAATGCTACATACACATGGGTGGTATTTACCGAATACCAAATACTAGTTGACTGCCTGACTCTTTGACCAAGAACTTGAGGACATGAGCTTTTAAATACTAATTCCAACATTTAACTATGAGTTTACCAGAAATATTTACTCTAAATAGCATGCATACAAAACAAACTCAAGTAACATACTGGAGGAGTAATGGAATGCAAATCATGCCCCAGATCATACACCACCTCTTCTAGTTTTAGCTTCTTAGCTCAGTGCCAGGCTAGTCTGATCTCTGCATCCTTGCATGACATATGCAAGTACATAATACAACTCAACTTACACATAGGAAAATAAAACTTTTATTTTTAAGACCCAGACACATACAGTCCATTGATTTACATTTCGTAGAAGACAGACCTCCTATGTAACACTAAACTGGTAGTAGTATTGAGTGATTCAGTCATTTTTACTTTTCTGATTCCAGGAAAAATAATTGATACATCTATTTTTTACCAAACAGAAGCCAGTACTGACAGGCTATTTGCCCTCCAACTATGTAACTATTAAAGAGCAATTCATTTTTATGCATTTTTGGTTCTAAATAGCAAATGTGAAAAGATTTAAAACTTGAAATGCAAATGACATCGTCTTTTTTTCTACAAGTACAGAAGTAAAATGTTTCCAACTGAAAGCACAAATTGTTATTACCTATATTTTGGGGACACATCTATGGCTATGATGTAAATCTGGTTTGGCAAAATGTTTTTACTTTGGGCAAAGGGACATACTAAAAAAGGGAACTGTAATGATAGAAAATAAGGCCAGTGAAATTCTGCTGATATTTCTGAAATCATATTTGACAGTAGCAAACAAAATAAAATGTGTTCAAAAAATGAAATAAATTGAAATTTACTGTCAGATAAAATCTTAAAAGTAACATTTGTTATATGCATGAACAAAAAAAATCACCACAGTAATACAAAAATTAAGAGTAAATTTTTAATTAATACAGTATTGTGGATACAAGTAGAATACAACTAGATAACAACTGTATTTACCTCAGAAATCTATGATAGTGTAGGGGAAGATAAACCAAGATTTATGATAGACACGTCACTATTCACATTTTAATCAGTGCTGACCAGAAGCTAAAGCCATTAGTTTAGGCAAAGATTTTCAATAAAATTATAGAAGCAATTCCCAGGAAAATAAATGAATAATGTGATGTCTTCATTTACTGTCAGTTGGAGTAAGTCAAACATAGAGCGCTCTTACAAAGACTAAGCATCAAATGATAAACTGCGGCTTTTGTTTTGGGTCACCTTAAATATAATCTGCTTATGTGTTTTTATTAACATTTGCATACAAATTCTTTTAGGCAACATGGAGCTTTCAGCTTGGAGATCTTTCCAACTATACTTACAGTAGTGTTTAAGGGATTAATATTTCAGAACAATTACAAACTTAGGACTTAATTTGCTACACTAGTAAAATGCAGAACTTTATAAAGTTTTCTGGTCCCTAAAAATTTGGTAGGGCCAAATACATTTAACTGAAAGTAGCACTAAAAAAAAAAAAAAAGAAAGAAAGAAAGAAAGAAAGAAAAAAGAAACAAAATAATTTTTATGATCCCCCAAGCCAGATGGTAAAGAAAGAAAAACCTATAACCTGGTACTAGACAAAAAAACTAATAAGGTTCTCACACAAAATCTAAAATTTCACACTGCAAAAAAAGATTACAACATCCTTCAGCCTTACTATATGCATTCATATAATCAAAAAGAACCAACAGGAAATTCAACATTTCAACAAGCTAGGACTATTAACTGTAAGCATATAGTGAAATTCTGGAAGACATACTATCATACTTTGAGAAACACTAATAGGTAAGCATGTGTTGAAAGCAGTTTATAAATGAAACATTACAACTCTTGTTTATGCATACAACTTATAAAATGAAAAAAAGTTGCTATTTTTTCAATATAGCATCACACTAACACTATACATTTAAGACTGAAAGCTTGTATACACACATCCAATACTACCTCCAATGCAGTATATGCCTCTTAGATATTCCCACTTGTTACCATGGTTTCAGGGATTTGTACCAGCTTGAGCAGGCTAAGACAATCACTGTCTTATTTATAAGACAAAAATTAACCAGTTTCAGGAAACTAACGTTTCATAATCAGTAAACAATAGCATTAACCCAACAGGATGCAAAACTCTAAGAACATGATAGAATCCTAACAAAATAAAAGACTGTAATCCTAGATAAATGAAGTATCAAAATGAGGAGTCTGAAAAACAATTATATACCAGAAACAAAAACTGGAGTTTGTTTCTTTACTGGTTCACTAGAAGCTGTCATCACATGCTTACTGGTGGTGTACTTTACTATGCAAAGAAAAGGGAGCATAAATTTCAAAAAACTAGATTCTAAATCTAACCTTATTTTTGTATTCTGAAAATATTGCTATAAAACCCAATTTTCCTAGCTTCTTGGATCTTCTAACATCTTAGGTAATGAAATTTAAACATGGTTGCCTGCAAGTTCTTCCCTAGAGAAAGGCAAAGCAGACTGGCTTCTTCCTGGCCTCATCTGTGTGCGTCACCAGTCACAGTGCTACTCTGGGCATTTGCTGTGCTACGACACAGCCAAACACGAAAGAAGTGTTTTGACATTCTGACATTTGACTCTTTTGGTAGCAGGCTTTTAAATGGTTAAGAAAATTTAAAACCAGGTAGTCATCTGACTTGAATTAGGAACTTAAGTCTGTAAGACACTTAAGGAAAGTTGTATGAATTGCATTATTTTTTTACTTTGGTTTTTAAAGATTTGTGTTAAAATAACCTTAAAGTCATCACTTATCACTCTCTGTATCAGAAATTTAACTATCTTTACTTCAATGTTTTCAAACAATTCAGTATTTTTAAAAATAAAGATCTTATCCAAGTTTTTAGCTGTTAAATTTCTCAAATATATCCTAGGTTTCTTACAGAGAGGACCCAACCGGGCTAACCTACTTTGATAACCTTACAGGGTGCTCAGGTTCAGCTAATTTTCTGAACATGGCTGACCTTTAACAGAATTATTTTCTCAGCCAAACAACTATTCTGTGTACTGCCAGATCTCCTCTGTAAGTCCTGCCAGAAACAAAGCAGAAAAAAGTGAAAATCAGTTTCTGCCTTTATAATCTCACAGAAAAATTAACGTATCAAAAGAAACTTCTTTGACCTGTCAGACAAAAATTCTCTACAAAAAGAAACTCAACCAGAAAATGACTGTTTAACTTGTCTGAAGTGACACAAAGACATTTAAAAAACTGCATATTCAAGAAAATGCTTAAAATGAAAGCAATGTTTCAAAACGGTATATATAATAAGATACATATTTTGTCACCGCAAAATTCCCTGTGGATTTTGGCACTAACATTGAAAGATGTTAGTCTTTTGGTCACTTGAAGCTGCTACTAAATAAAACAGACTTTTTTTAAAAAAAGGCAGTGAGGAACTGAAGGTTAGGTTAACTATTTCAAACACAAGTGAAACATACTTTGGAATAAGTCATTTCTGCTATATAATAAGTTTCCCATCACCTCTTCCTTTTTTTCCTTTTTGCAGTACCAGGGATCGAACTCAGGACCTTGCTTATGCCAGGCAGGCACTCATGCTGCTGAGCTGTCCCCTTGGCCCTCCTCTTCCATTTTGAAGAGGCTCCTCTAATCAGAATAATTTCATTAAGTTCCTTACTCTGGGTGGTATTGCCTGGTAGCAGCTTCAGTTTTCCACACTGGTCTTCAATCCAGATAATTAAATAATCTCACAAGGGGTTAAAAAAAGCATGGAATCTTTTCCATGCAGAAACATCCCAGGAGAAACCCATCAATTTTAAAGATAACCATCAGGTTTCAGGTATCCTAGCACACTCTATCCCTAAGTTTTACTTAAACCACTGGTGACTAAAATTAGCAAGTTCTGCAGTGAAGCCTTTTTTTGCCTGCAACTATATACACAATGCAAAACTACTCTGCCATCACATGATTTTAAATGAAATAAATATAAAAATGAACCACACAATCAACACATAACTTTAATACTCCACATTGTTTATCTTGATCACACGGTGTAACCTCCTGGTCAGCAGTCCTGGGAGTTGAGGAGCTGATTCTCATTCTCGTACCCGTCAGGCAGGTAAGCTCTCCTCAGCTGGTCTGACTTAGGTATGGAGCCTCCGTTCTTCACGTGGCGAGCCAGGAAAGCACGGACTGCAGGGTGATCAGCCTTCTCCAGGGGGATGTTGGCTTCCAGGCACATTTTCACGAAGTCCTGGATAACACTGACTTTTTCTGTTTGCGCAGTGCTGTTGCACTGAAGAGATGCAGTTAGGGGCCTCTGCTTCTTTCTCACATTCTGCTCTTCAAATTCTGCCTTCCTCTTGGTATGAGTCTTTGACTTGAGGTGGTC